TTTTAATTTCAAATTCCACTTGTTCATTGCTGTTATATAGGAAGATGATTTACTTTTGTATATTAACCTTGCATCCTGCAACTTTGCTATAGGTCCTCATTAGTTCCAGGAGGATTTTTTTTGTTGACTCTAGGATTTTCTAAATGATTATGTCATCTGTGAACAAAGACAGCTTTATTTCTTTCTTTTCAATCTGTATACTTTTATTTCCTTTACTTGTCTTATTGCATTACATAGCACTTCCAGTACAATATTAAAACGGAGTGGTGAGAGGGGCCATCCTTGCCTTGTTTCTGATCTTAGCGGGAAAGCTTTGAATTTCTCATCATTAAGTATGATGGTAGCTGTAGGTTTTTTATAGATGTTCTTTATCAAGTTGAGGAAGTTCCCCTGTATTCCTAGCTACTTTTTAAAAAATTTCCTCTAAATCTTCCATGTGCCACAACCTAGCTCTTTCCTCACAACTCCAGCAAAATTGATCTTGGCAAGATCATCCGTAAGTTACATGTAATCAATGTAAGTGTTTACCTTGGTCAACTTCTCCACAGTATTTGACATTGCTGACCACCCATTCCTGTCTACCCTTAACTTTTGGGGCACAATGCTTTCCTGGTTTCTCTTCTGTCTCCCTAACTACTCCTTCTCAGTATTCTTTATAGCGTTTACTTTCTCTACCTATTGCTTAATTATTGATGAACCTCTCATCAGTTTCCATTTCTTGGTCCTCTCTTCTTTTCACAAGTTATTCTGCTTCTGGACAGATTCATACAGTCCCTGAGCTTAAATCACTGTCTATATAATTATGACTTCCCAATCTATGCCGGACTTCTTTACGAATGTCTAGCAGATTCCTCAAATTCAGTATGTGAAATACTCAACTCATTTTCTGCCTTCCAATCCAGTGTATCCTCAATTTTCACTGTCTCAGTAAATGGCTCCAAGTTGCTCAGGCCAGAAATTTGAGATGTTTCTTCTTTACTCGTCCCTTTATGCAAACCCCTTTTATCCAGTAACCCCATAAGTCATGAAAATTTATCTGTTGTATCCTTTAAATACTTATTGACTCCTCTCCATCCTCTTTGTTACTACACTGACCCAGGCTAAGATCATCAAGTCTGACCTGGTCTCTGCAGTAGACTACAAATTGTCCCCTGCCATACTCTGCTCTAATTTTTTCCCCATATTTCAGTGACAGTGATCTTCTAAAAGTACAAATCCTCTCCATCACTCTTAGAACGAAGTCCAAATTCCACAAAACATCATGCAACCCTGCAGAATCTGCCACCATCACCAACTCCAGACTCATTAATGGCCATCATGTCTCTCCACTTTTAAGCCACAGTAAATTTCTTTCAGTTCATGGAATTATGACTTTTCTTATATCCTGGTTTTCCTAAAAATTATTTCCTCTGTCTGGAATACTTTTAGCCTTCTGCCTGGTAGATTAAAATTATTTTTTAGAATTATGTCAAAATATTATTTTTTTCAGGTAGGCATGCATTCTCTGACACCTAGCTTAAAAAATGACACCTGCTTTATATTCTAATGGCTCTATCTACTTCTCCTATTACAATACCCATCATATTTATCTACTTATTTATCTGCTTTCCTAGATAAACAGTAATTCCTGTAAATTTGTTTATCAATGCATCTCTACCATTAGGTAACTACTACTTAGTCAGTGCTAAATAAATATTTGTTTAAGAATAAATGAAAACTAAGATTTTATTTTTTTAAGTCAATCACTTACTCTGTCCTCTTTGGTTGCATTAATATACTATGCAATTGAGTTTTAAAATATATATTTGTTATTAGTTTACAGAAATACTCTGATAGCATACAGAGGAGAATTATACCATGGAACTTGGACAATTTAATAATTCCCAAGGTTTCCATATATGAATGCTAGAATGTTCACTAGTAATAGAAATTTTTCTATGAAATAAATGTGTCAACATTTGGCTCCAAACTGCACAGTGCCATTCAAGAACGTGAGCAAGTAACTGGGGAGTAATTAGGGTCTTAACCACATGGTGCTTATCTACCAGTCCCCTGGAGAAGGTTGCACTGTCCACTGCACGTCTATGCAAACACTGGTAAATCTGGCTGATGTCTTCAAATCAGAGGATGCTAACTAGGCTCTTTTCCTTCCCTTTGCTCATAAAGATGCTTTCCTATTGCCTTTTGTGGATATCAGAAGTGAGTTTTCATAACTCTAAGAGGCTGAGAACTTCACGGTCTGTAGGTATGTCTGTATAAGGGGGATGTGTGTGTGTGCTGGGTGGGCAGGCAAAGAGACAGGGAGTGATAGAGATAAAGTATGGATATTGGAGTACACAGCCAGATCAAGAATTAAGTACAAAGAAGAGCAATGCTGCCTAGTGAATGAAGTTCACAAATCTGAGCAAGTTAATTTCTCCAAACTTCCACAGGTAGCATAGGAATGTAAGTGATGTGAGGTTTGGTCACAAAGGGAGTAAAGTGTTTTGTGCTTACCTGACACTAGATGCTTTGAGAGGGAAGAGTAAAAGTCCAAAAATGGATGAGGCTCTCTTTGAAATAAGTAGCATCAAGAACTTATAATAAGGCTACTGCAAATTAATGAAGTTTGAGGTAAAATCAAGAATCAACTTTTATCTCTGAGAGTAGCATATGTTTGAAATTCCCCTCTCCAAATGCACTACAATAGAGTATATTTTTGATTGTAGTATAGAGTAATAATAATTTTTAAAGTTAGATCAAAATGCAAGTTTTAATAAGGTGATTTAGAACTTCATATAATCACAAAATATATATGGTTCAAAAGGCTAGCAGCATATCTCCATCTTTGCAAGGATTAATGTTAAAGTAAAAATACAGCAATGGTGACAGTTCAACTCTTTTGTCTTTTATGATATCACATCAAAATACCTATAGCTTTTGAGGTTTTTCTGGTATAAAATTCTAGCATTACACTCAGCTCTTCTGCACTGGTGCTACCCACAGCAGGGAAACAACAACAGCAATGTCCCAGAAATGTTCCAGAAAAGTGGTAGATTTTTTTAAATTAAAAAGGCAGGATTGTCTTTAATGATCTAATGTTCATATATTTTGTACCAATAATTAGTTTTAAAGACACGAAAAAAATAAGGTAGGCTAGATATTAAAGGCATTGCTATTAAGTATTTTTATTCAATAAATACTTAGTATTCCCTGATTATATGCAAGAGTTAACAAAGAGGTAGAAGAAATGTGAGGTGTTTTAATAACAGAGAATAATGAATCTAAGTAAAACTTAATTCTATAAGCATTTGATTTCTCAAAGTCTCATTGAACTAAGAGGAATATGGCAGTACGTTTAGTTTTTAAAGTGTTGCAGCCTATAGTATCATTCTTCTGATAAAATGACAAATGTTGAATTAATGTTTAAAAATATGGCCTGAAGTATTCAAGTATTTACTTCAAAATTCTATAAAGATACTGGTTTCTTAATTATTTAAACACATTTGCCTCTTCAGTTCCAGATTTGGCTCTTACAAAGTAGCAACAAAAACATTATATACTGCAAATCTAAGGCACTGCCGATTTGGGGTCAGTGGGCTTAAAATATAACTCTTTTTTATGCTATTATATATTCCTGTTGGGAATATTTATCATTCTAATTTTCTTCAGAGATATAGACTTTTGTAAGGATAGCATTCTCATATTAAATTCTGAAACTCACTGTACATATTTGGAGACTTGGTCAAAGTGGTTACAACAGTTTTATTTCTATGGCACTGAATCAAATCCCCTAAAATAACAGCAAGTTAATAAAAGCCTTAAAAGAGAATTGTCTTTGAAATGAATCAAATGAACATAGTACTTTTCAGCAATAATATAATTAACTTTTTCGAGTGTAATACATTCATACCAATGTAACATAAAAATACAAGTAAAACACATTTAAAAAATAAAGCACACTAAAATGCAATTAATAGTGGCCAAAAATGGCTGGTTAGCGGTTTTATTTAATTATTCTTTCATTCATTCAACCAAGTTATTGGGTATTGGGCTCCTACTACACATAAAGGAACTAGTTAGGTGCATTAGATACAATGGTGAGTAACTCACACTGATCCTTTCCTGTAGACAGAACTACTTTTCTTCTTCAAAACTATTTTTGAAAAGCTATGGACATCTCTGACTTTTCCAAGGTTTATGCTGGCTGACTGAACTTTAATCCAATACATGTTTGGTTTCCCTATATCGAACAGATATAGTTCACTTTTTTCTTCTTTTACTGACATGAAAAAAATTTTCTTCCAACTTAACCATGGTATTACTTTTAATCAGAGAAAAAACCTCTATACAAATTTATGTAGTGCTAAATTATTTAAAGTACCGATATCTGCTTAATGGAGAACTATTTGGAAATTATGGAAGCCACCCTGAATCCACAACTATACATGCCAATGAAGTACTTCACAGATGAAAAACATTTTGAAATGTGATCACTGACTAATATTTGCCAAGCGTGTTTTTGAGACTTTGAAGAACAATGCAGCTAGAATATTTTTTCTTTCATCATGTATTTATAGTCTTAGAAAAGTAATGATTAGAACAGCTACAAAATACTGATGAATATTTTCAATCACTAAAATAAGTTCTATTTTATTCAGAGTGACTATCTAACTTGAATAAATTGACTTGGGAATTGCTTTCCAGTGAAAATAAAATTTAAATATCTATTAATATTAGAAAAATAAATTTACTATATTCAAGTAGTACATGTAGTGCCTTTAAAGTATAATGTTCATCACTAAAATATATTTTTAAATTTTTTGAGAGCACTATGAATAAAAATATACTTTAAATATAAAATAAAAATGTTAAAATTAAGAGGCCTACAGAGAAGTAAACTAATTAGCAACACGTAAGAATCTTATACAGAGTACCCATAATGCACTGACAGCCAAATTTGTCAGTCACTCATGAAAACAAAGAGGATAACTATTGAAATGCTTAAATCTTACACTTACCAACCTCCACAACACTAGAACAATTGGGATCTGTGAAGCCATCTGGGCACTCGCAGGAAAAGGAATCATCAGACAATCCTGACACACAGATACCTCCATTTTCACATGGATTGTGATCACAAATATCACCTGAGGAACAAAGAAACAGATATTGACTTTTCTTGTCTTAGGCAGTGAACTGTACTATTTCACATACCCCACTCATCTTCCTTTGGTAAAGTCACCATACTATTTAGATTTACAGGCAAGGTAGGCAAGACCCATTTGAAACCATGTGCTTCTAAGAGAGATGATATGTAACACGGTAAAAATTAAATTTTACGATTCAAACACTGCATGTTGAATTGCATACTAAAAGCGATTAACTCAGGTTGGGTCCCTTCATTACCTATAAATGAAATATTGTCTAATTTGTTAAAGAAGATTAACTGAAATATCTTTGGTTGACTGGTTTATTAATTATTCCAATAAATAACCTATCTATATCCACACGCTTTGCTCTGTAACTTTGCAATTTCTCTCAATAAAGGGGTGGGGTTTATTTCTTGATCCCTAGAGTCTGGGCTTGTCCATGTGACTTGCTTTGGCCAATAGGATGTTAGGAGACCTGAAGTCAGCTGAGGTTTGAAAAACCACTTGAATATTTCTGCTTCCTCTCTTAGAACCCTGCAACCACCCTGAGAATAAAATCTCTCTCTTGCTTGAGAGAGTTGAGAGAAACGTGAGAGGAAAGAGAAATAAGTTGTGCGGTAACAAAACCTAAAATATGTGGCCTTGGTTTTGATACTGGTGGCAGATGGAATCCGGAAAGGCACTGAAAGAATGGCTACAGGAGGCTAGAAAAAGAGCTCTCCCTGCTATATAGAGAGAAGCAGTTGGTAAAACTATCACCTGAGGATACTTGGGTGATAGAAAATGTACCTAATAAACTTCTGTATATGAGTAATAAGATTTGTAGTCAGAATGTTAAAGGGTCACTTGACTCTTAATAGCTGTATCTGATAAGGCATTACAAGAGAGAGACATGCTAAATAAAGAACTGATGATTTTGAAAGTAAAGAAAAGGAATAGAGAGGCACCAGGACTCGTGATAGAAAATAATTTCTCAACTTCAGCCTCTCAAACCAGTGAAAGATCAAATCCAGAGCTTTGTCAGAAGGATGGCCTCAACATAAATATAAAATGAAGGATGTAGCTACAAGACCTTTGTGAAAACATTTCATATAATTCAGGTGTAGCCTGAAAGAATCTCTCAGCTAAATAAAAAAGGAATTCTAGAAATCTTAAGGGTGTTATCCCTGAGTAACCTTAAAATACACAAAGTAGCACAAAGTAGATTAAGTCTGGAGTGAAAAACAGGGATCAGAGAGTCACGGGCATGCCTTTATTTATTTTTTAACAACTTTACTGGAGTATAATTGCTTTACAATGTTGTGTTAGTTTCTGCTGTATAAC